GGATAAGACTGCTGATCCTAAAAGTTAGAGCTGTTCTAGTACACACTAAAGTTGGCAACAAGAAGAGCCATACTCCATCTGCTTCCATTTATCCCATCAGGGTGGTGGTGGGGCAGATGCCGATCTCCAGCAGTCTATTGGCAAGAGGCGTACACTCTGGACAGATTGCCAGTCAGTCACAGGGCAACACAGAGATTGGACAATTAATAATGCCAGTTAACAGTCCTGCATTTGGACTGTGAGAGAGTACCCGGAGAGAACCCACGCATGCATGTGTTAGGCTATATTGCCACAATGGAGCCAAATCAATTTGAGGAACCATTTCAAATCATCCCCCTTTCTTTTGCACAATGAGAACAAAGAACATTCTGGAAAACTCCAGCCAAAGGACCAATCAGCTGACAAGAATGCAAACCTCAACAGGGAATACCCCTATGTCATTCAGGGTTTAAAACCCAGAGCACGAGATCAATCTTCCTCTTGCCCCTGGGTTTCCACCCAGAGAGAGGCCCGTTTCACTTGAAATGCTAAAGAAAGCTAACTGGAAGTAGCTTTCGTTTTCCTGCGTCAAAAGCATGGATCACAGTGTCCCATCGTGCATAGCACCTGCTGAACCGGGTGAGACGGGGAAATCTGGAGCTGAACGCTGTGTGGAATTTCCCGCCTTTGTGAGGACCTCGCTACGGAAATCACGGCCTACCTGCAGGAGGACGCTTCTGCTTTTATAGCCGTAATTTAACCTTCCTTGAACCCTAAAGCCCATCAAGTTCCTCTGCTGTAGCATCAAACTGGCTTAAAACTGAGTGAGATGAACCCCACACCGAGCTGAGGCTGAACCGTGCCGAACGGCTTTAATGAGGTGCTGCGCTCGGTCGAGAGACAGGGAGATAGGAGAAACCTGAATTAATGCTGATGTTTAATCTGTGCTGGTTATAAGAACTCTGGTTTAATGGTGGAAATAAGTGTGCTGTGAAAATCGGCTTATATTTCTTCCTTCCTTTCTTCCTATCCTGCTTTCATTCTTTTCTGCTTTAAGGTAATTTATGGAGATTTGCTCACATTTAACCAAGTGTGGTCATGTGGTTAAGGCCCATTATTACAAGCCGCCCCCTCCCCCTTTCATCATATGAAAAGGGGGGGTCTCAAAAACACACACAGACTCATATACATTCCCCCCCACACACACACACCACCCTGCTCCTCATGTTTGCTGAAAAACTTCTGCTGCTGTTGTTTATTTTAACCATTTATCATTTTAAGCTGAATATATTTTACGTTGTTTTAATTGCACTATTATCATCATACCTGCTGCTATTCCAAACGGATATTATTGAAGGTATTAACATCTGGCCTATCTTGGACAATCTAAGAAGCCAGTTAAACGGACTCTTATGGTTTTATTCCTTTTCTTTCAAACTAGTCACTTAGTCTACCTCGTGTTTATTTTCTGATAGCATGTAGTGTTTGCATAGATGTTAGATTTCTGTAATCCTGAATTATTAGAATAAAGACGTCATTGTTTAACCTGCAGTTGTTCTGTGTTTCATATAGCAGACGATTTATCACTCAGGCCAGATTCACCCCCCTTTGGTAATAGTGTGACTAAACAGACATAAAAGGTTCTTTATTGATAATTAATAGCTCTGCTAATAACTAGCCTGTGTCACTAGATTGGTGGATACCTGGATTTTAACAGCCGGTCCAGGAACCATCCAGTGAAAGCAATAAACCCTGGTTAGTAAGCAAATTAAAGCTACAATTATTCAACTAAGAACACTAAATTGATTTTACCTCCGATTTTAAATAAGTTGAATAATTAACTACAACTAGTTAGTCCTTTATTCATTATCTGCAGGATATCATTTTGCACAACACACAAGAATAACATGCAAACTCTATGTAGAAAGACTCTGGACCAGGAATTAAACTTGGAACAATCTTCCTCCAAGGCAACAGCTCTGCAAACTATGCTACCATGGAGCCCTACAAAAAGAGACTTATATGAAAACTGGTTCAAAAGCTCAGAAACTTAATATTCTGCTTTTGAGGTATTTGGAAACAATGCATTAGTTTATGATGGATGAATGATTGGCAAATGTCACTGAGCAAGTCTCAGAAATAAAAAAAATATATATGTAGAAAACAGTGACAGTTATAATTACGGGCCAAACAGCTCTCAGCACCCTTAAAACTCTGATCCTAGAATCTCCCCTGGTATGGCTAGTTCTGCATACGACAATTTTTTTGTTTTTTATAAGATTTAACTCCATTTTCATCAAAATTTACCACTTGGAACAGGATGAAATGGATAAATGTACCAAACTGCGCCCTTTTGCTTCAAACCACAATACTTTAACTGAGAAAATACCTCAATAAAGAAATAAAATCAGTAAAAGTAAGTTATAAATAAAACAATCAAGTATTTGAAAAATAAATCAAATAAGTAACTGCCAATGAAATGTGTAAATACAGTTTCCACCATTCAAAATGGCCCTTCCTGGTCAAACGCCAGCCGAATGGCAGCCCACTTCACTCGAACTCCCTGCACAATCCCCTCCAAATTCCAGCCACTGGAGTGACCCCCTCTTGTATACAGTATATCGCTGGACAGAGGCGCACTGGACAGAACCGCATGTTGGAGGTGTCCTCACTTATGCCAGCTACGCTGGAGAGGCCCACACATTGGACAGAGGACTGCACCCTCCATTGTGCCAGCTAAGAGTGCACCCTTTAAACAGACTTGTCCATTGACTCCGCTGCTCCTGATTGCCCTATATTTTATCTCTTAAAGTAATTGAACTTTTACTGACTAGTCCTTTTAAAGCTTTTTAAAGCTCTCACAGTCACCGCAGTTTTGTTTTTTATATAATTACACCTCTTGGGTGCCACACTTCTCTTTAGATCTTAATGTCCACAAATTAGGACAGAAAGTAGCCTAGTAAACTAGCCCCACCCACCAGCGGCCAAAATAATTTTTGCCTGCCAGTGGTCTAGCCTCGATCAATGCACCAGGCCCTAGAACTGGTAGACCAATCACAACGCAGAGATGTGTTTTGAATTTCTGGATGCAAAGTGGGCGGGGTTTTGATGGCGTGATGACAAAGCTGTGCGACGCTGGAGAAAGCATAACAAGGAAGATGGCAAAAACTGTTGAACAGTTCTGGTTTGAATCAGCTTTGGAATCAGTTTAGTAAGGATCAGACTTGGGGTTTTTGTGGAAACGTGAGCAAGAAGAGGCTCTACGCTCATTTATTCCTAAGAAGGACGTATTCGCCATTTTACCGACAGGCTGTTTGTTTGCCCTCCCCCACCAGCTTTCTGTCGCGCTTACTACGTCACAGTCAGTTGCACTCTTTGGTCAGAATGTTGGCCAATAGGAACAGACATGGTTTGAAAAACAACGGGTTGTTCTCATCAACAATCTTCCTATGTCTCATTCATTGGGGCCAAACTAAATTACACATTTAATCTCACATTTAGTCTGGTTTATCAGGCTAGACAGAAAGAAAATTTTAGTACAAAGATTGATATTTAAAAAGCAATTGTAGGGGACCGGCCAAGGACCAACCAAGGGCCTAGCAAGGAAAGTGGAGAAATTTTTAATGGCTACTAGATGATAGGATGGAAAACAGAATGACATACAAACCACATTTTATTGTAGAGGGGTACGATCTTAGAAAGTTGGTGCCACTGGGGCATTCATACTGGGGCAATTCTTTTTTCTATTGGTTTTCCCCATCTCCTTCCATGTTAGACAGATAAATACACCAGAAGATTGCTTCAAACCCTTCATGGATCATGTATTCTATTGGAAACAGAAGGTTGACTGGCCACTTTGTTGTCTTGAAGTCAGCACTAGATGAAATTTCAATTTAAAATAAATTTTTACTGCTGCATCCTACCAGTCCCAAAATTGTGGGATGGTCTCCATTTTAGTGGATTTGAGCAGTCATCTATTCAAGCGAGTCCAGTCTTAACCTGATGACCTATGATTAATAATCTGGTGTGCTACTGCTCGGCTGGAAAGCAAACCAGCAGCCATTCTGCCATTTCTGGAACCAGTTTGACAACCCTCCCTTAATGTAATCTACATTCTGAACAAACCAGCTAACTAATGCTGCATTATAAATCTTGTTTACTCAGGATGAATTTAACACTGAGGACTTCACCCACAGATAAAGCTGTTGAAATAAACAAAACAGACAAAGTTACTAGATGATCAAACAAATTGATCTGGCTCAAAATAAGTTGGCTCTATTGGTTCTGAAAGTAAATGCAAAAAAAAATTTTAAACATTTTTTTTCTAAAAACTATCTTCCTGAGTTGTATGAATTTCATTAGATAAAGACTTTTAAACAAATTTTGTATCATGATTTAAGGTAAATATTGGAAACAGTTACTATTTCATCATCATTATTTTATTTTATTTTTTTTACAACAATTAATATGACCGTGGATGATCATTACTTTTCAAGGTGCATTGTGGGAAATTTCAAGTCCACTCCTTTTTTATCCACTAGACATTCGGACACTCATTTAAAAAGGTGTAACCATTATACAGTGCTCTAGATAGTGATTAGGGCAGACGTTCAGACACAACCAGAAAGACCATAGAACAGCTCAGTAACTCTGGATCAGCAGTGCAACCAAAAAGACACGAGATCAGAATCGTAAATCATATAGTCAGAAATCAGGGAGAGACGCTTCAGAATAACCTCTCTGGAACAACACCCTGGAGTCAAAGGGCTGGTATCAGACACTTCTTATCCTCCTGTTAATGAGCTCATGATGGAAAACACCAGGATGCACAATCAACCACGGCTCCATTCAGTGGATAAACAGACAAACAACAAACTAGAGAGACAGACAACCAAACGTTTTCATTACTGTAACATAAGCGTTTCTTCTGGAAAAATACCTGAAGGTAGAGGCGGGGCAACATGCCGCAGGTAGGTATAAATTCGCTCAGTGATGCGGAACCTGTCAGAGCATCAGTACACCTGCAGAATAGATACTCCTACAGTAACCTGTTCTACATCTGGTGAGTACAACTCCTTGTATTTTGCTTCACCTCTCAACTAAGAAAGGATTAAAAACATTTCTTTTTAGCAGGACGTATTACTTTTAACATTTTTACAATTATGCTATTGATTTTATTCATAAGTGTTTTAAAGCAATGTTTAGTTTTACATTTTGATTTTACCCTTCTATGATGATTTTACCTGTAGCACTTTGAGATTTTTTTGAAATGTAAAGGTGCATTACATATAAAATGTATTATTATTAACTCAACAAAGTAATATGATTCTGGAACATATGATATAGGATTGTAGTACCTTCAATAAGCAATTAGGGTTTTTCCTAATGTATTATGACTGAAATTCTTAAAGTGGGATGAGCCATTCAGTTATTTTTTAAGTGATGGCAATTTTGAATTTCAAGACATTTGAAACAGTTTAGAATGGGGGCATCTGCTGGAGAGCTAGTTGAACTACAATTGAAGGGTATCCTAATGTCCGCATCATTTCCCGGCTGAATTCGTTTCTTCCATAATATTAGTATTGATATTATTTAAATAAATAACAAAAAAACCCCGAATATCTTAGCTGTGAAATTGCGATATGAAAAACAACTCTTCTGATGCATAACAGCTATGCTATGGCGTGGTCCTGTCACTATGGCTCTGAGTTCTAATCCATCCTTGCTTCCAGGCTAGATATTAATTAATTTGGCAGACAGGTTAACACTCACGCTTCTCATTAAGCAGATTTTGAGTTTGAATTCGGCACAGTTCCTCTATTTCATATCTGTTTGTTTGTTTGCTAATTTGTGTAAATTAGGATACTTCTCAGCCGTTCGGCCTAATATTTGACTGTGCTGCACCCACAACTATAGAAAATACATCAATAAATTATCCTTTAAATTGTTCCGATAGATTCAATGATTGAAACCAATGTGAAATGGTTGTAAAGATTAAAAATGATGTCTGAGAGCTTTTTGCTATCCTAGGCACAACAGTTTCTTCATATTTTCACTTTGATAATATTCACAGTTTTCATTCTTTTCGTTTTTCAGATAATGTGAGCTTGACAGGTTTTGCATCTTCATAGTGGCAGAAGGCTACAATCGTCACAGATTTACAGACCATAGAAAGGGGCTGCTGATAGGGCTGTAGTGTAAGCTTATGGCAGGGCCCTAACTTTAAACTGGCCTTGGGAATTGATTTAGGTTAGGTCTCTAAACTTCTTTGCCATTATAGAATCAAAGTCTGTCATTATATAGTAATTTAGGATAGTCTGTAATGTTTGCAGAGGTTTTGCTGTACTAGTTTAAAGAAAATTGTAACTAATATGTAAAAAGTCATTTTTTCTAGAGCACTTCTGTGTATGTCGCTCTCGGCAATTGCATATGTGTCCTTTGCAATGACATGGTCATCACTTCATGTAAAGATTAATACTCACCCTCATTGTCCCTGTTCACCAAACCAGATGAAGCTTTATGTTGCCTTCATGTTTTCTACAGATTTTTGGTATATTCATTTCTTTTTTTTACCTTTATAGATCCAAACATGTCTGGGATCCTTTCACCTACTTCCAGCATCATGGAGGATGAAAATCCAGGTAAGATGGAGATTACAGCAATGCTTGGAATTACAGAGGAACTAACCTTATTTACATGACATCCAGTTGGGCTTAGGTCTATATCAGTACCTTGTACCTCCCACAATATGGCTCTGGAGAGTCAGACACCAGTTAATAGAGTCTCTCTGTTCTGATCTGGTAGGTTTGCGGTATTTATTGGTTTCTTTGCCTCAGTTCTGAGTGGTCTACTACTGGGAACATCTGGCTGCAGGGGCAACCTGTACTAATATTAATGGAAACAGAGCTAATAATGATCAACAATGGAAAATTGTGATTAAGCAAGAGAAAACTGTTGACCAGTGTTATTCTCTTGTATTATCATATAACCCAGATTGTTTGTAAATTTTTAGGAGATGGGATTATGCAGGAGCAAATCCTGAACACTTTGGATGAATTAAACGAGGAAGAGTTTGAAAGATATAAGTGGTTCCTGCAGCGACCTGAGAACCTTTCTGGGCTTCCAACACTCAAGAAGAAAAACCTGGAAAAAGCAAAAACCTTTGAGATTGTAGACTTGATGGTGCAGACCTACAACCTTAGTAGGTGCCTGGAGGTGACCTGCCAGATTCTAAAGAAAATTAACAGGAACGACCTGTACCCAAGATTACTCAAATCTAAGAAGCCAGAGATTAAAGTTGATCAGATAATCTGCAACACTGGAGTGAAGATTCAGGAGATCAAAGAGTCGGTGAAGATCAGTAAAAATGCTGCAGACAGAGAGAAAGCAGAAGGTGTTGAGGTCTTCACTGCTCTGAAGGAGTCTGCTGAGAGAGGCCTGAAGGAGCTCATCAAGGAGATCGAAGACAAACAGAAAACTGAGGAGAAAAAGACTGAAGACTGGATCAAATATCTGAAATATGAACTCAATGAGCTAATGATAAAGAAATCTCAATTAAACCAGCTCTCCCAGTCTGAAGACCACCTCCTCCAAAGCTTCTCCTTCTTGAAAGCTGCTCCACCCAGCAAGAACTGGACAGAGGTCAGAATCCGTCCACCATCATATGAGGGGACTGTGGTGAGAGCTGTGGCTCAGCTGGAGGAGAAGGTCAGAGAGAATATGGAAAAAATGATGAAGGCTGAGATGAAGAGGGTCCAGCAGTCTGCAGTGGATCTGACTCTGGATCCTGATACAGCTCAACCTAAACTCATCATGTCTGTTGATGGAAAGCAGGTGAATGTTGGAGAGGTAGAGTATCATCTACCTGACAATCCAAAGAGATTTTCTGAGTCTCTGTCTGTTTTAGGAAGTCAGAGTTTCTCTTCAGGCAGATTTTACTTTGAGGTTCAGGTTAAAGGAACGACTGGTTGGGTTTTAGGAGTGGCCAGTGAGTCCATCGACAGGAAGGGAATCATCCCACTTTGTCCCAAAAATGGTTACTGGACAATCAGGTTGAAAAAACGAAATAACTACAAAGCTTGTGCTGTTCCTCCAGTCCGTCTCCATCTCCATCCTGGTCCTGAGAAGGTGGGGGTGTTTGTGGATTATGAGGAGGGTCTGGTCTCCTTCTATGATGTAGATGGTCTTATCTACTCCTTTACTGGCTGGTGCCTTACTGACAAACTCTACCCATTCTTCAGTCCCTATGATAAAGTCAGAGGTAAAAACTCTGCTCCTCTGATCATCTGTCCTGTTCGTCTGGCTGAATGTTCCTCCTACAGTTCTGATGAGGATGAATTGAATCTGTTGGTGGAAAACCTCCAAACTTAGTGAGTCTGGAGGTGAAGTCCTGCTGGTGGAGAGGTGAGCTTGGAAACATCATCAGCAGGAAGTTAGCTGTTCATTTGGACCTCATGTCTGCTTGTATGTTTTTTAAAAGGACTGAAGGTCTTTGGACTGGTCTCTTCTGATCTGGTTTTGCTGTGCTTTGATAAATGCTGGTTTCATCAATGGAGACGATTATCTCCCTTTGAAGGCAACTAGCACAAACCAAATGACGTTATTGTTGTTGAATTCAAACATAATTGTTTTCTTTTAAAATGTATAAAAAATGTTTTAACATCAATTTTCGAGTGGTACCTTTTATTGATATTAACCTTATTAACATAACCTTATTTTGCTTTGTTTCTAACAACAAATAAAGATTGAAAGCTTGATTATCTAAATTGTTTCTCTTTAATCTCCTCCTGAACTCTCTTGTATCTTTTTACTCTTGAAAGAAAGTTTTTTTTTTTTTATCTAAGACTCAGTTAACATTATTTAGTATTTCAATCTGAAAAACTCACACAAAGAGAAAAGACAATTTGAGAAATGAAGCTAAGGCGGAAATTCAACTGAAGAAACTCTGATTACTTCCATTCAATCTGAGGCTGATCCGCCTCCGACGCAGCCAACCCGCTTCAAGCCACTTTCCTTGATGCCCAATCATCTTCCAGCACCCTACTTAAAGCCACTCCAAATCATCTCTAGGCCTGCTCTTCAACAAGCGCAAGATCCATCGCTCCTATGTCGGACTTTGATTCAGACAACCCACCTCCATCCCCTTCTCCACCATTGTAGTAAGCTCATCCGACTCCTCCTCGACGCTCCTTCAACCTCACCTCCAGTGTGTACTCCCTCCAGACTTTCATGGAGTTCCCTGTCACTTTAAACGGTCCGGCAGAAGACCGCCACGTTGAGCCTGGTTCTGCCAGAGATTTCTTCCCAAAGGGGAGTTTTTTCTCTCCACAGTCGCTTCATGCTTGCTCTTCATGGACAGTTTATGCAAACTTTGTTCATTCAGTGACATCTAACTCAAGCATCACCCTGTATACCAGCCTCTATGGATTAACCAAACTTCACCTATCTAAACTCCACCACCAGTTTCAGGCCCGGGGGGGAATATCCTTATTCTCATACATCAGTTTATCTGCATTAAAGTATAAACCAGCGTTTATGTTTCCTGCCGAGGCCTGAGCGCCAAAGTTCAAACTATTGTACCAATAAACTCTTCTAATTGCATCTTTCTCTCTCTGTGAGTTTTTCAGATTGAAATGTATTGATACAATTACTTTGTCGTTGGTGCTCAGACCTCGGCAGAAAACATAACGCTTAATTTTGATAGATATGCATGAACAGGAGCAAAGAGCAGGGATGTTTCCCCCCCAGGCCTGAAACTGGTGGTGGAGTGGAGATAGATGGAGTTGGTCAGTCTGTAGACTGCTGGTTAGAGACGGTCTGCTGAGCTTTATGGGGAGATGCAGTGGACTGCATGAGCTGATACTAGAGCTTCACTCAGCGACCTGGAAGATGGAAGTCCAGCTTGGATAACACAGGTTGAGAGAACCTGTCCATGATGAGCAAGCATGAAGCGACAGTGGAGAGGAAAAACTCCCCGTTGGGAAGAAACCTCTGGCAGAACCAGGCTCAACATGGCGGTCTTCTGCCGGACAGGTTAAGATGAGACGGGGAAGGCAGTAAGAGTCCGGGAGGAATGACGCTCTGAAGCTTTAGCTACGAAGGTGAAGGAGGGGCTGGAGGTGGGTTGAAACAGTGTCATCTGAATAAAGTCTTTTTTTTTTTTTTTTGCAGAAGTTTATTTCAAACCTGCACACATTTTACAATACATATAATGACAAACAATACATTTGCATGGCTTGAAAAGGGGATGGAAGAAGCAAAAGCTTATACATGTCCAATCCCCTCCCACTCATCCCAAGGACACTCCTGCAAATGACAAGACAAAGACAAGACAAACAACCCATCCACACTCATGCATACAAGACAACACACTGGCTCAACACTCCCCGTCCCTGCAACCCCCTCCCTACATCACCCCACCCTCATAGAACATCACTCACTCTCTTCCAGATATTTTCTCAGGACATCCCGCTTAAATATTTTTTAAACGGTTTATATTTTCACAACACTTGTGTTCCTCCGCTAAATTATTCCAGAGGGCGACACCACGACTTGAGATGCACATTGATTTCAAGGTAGTTCCTACTTTTGGTTGGTATAATCGATTTTCGCCTCCTAGATTATAAGTGCGAAGTGCCTCCCGCTCCTGAAAGAGTTTTAAGACATTTTCTGGAAGAGAGCCAATTGACGCTCTGAACATTATTTGCGCAGCTCTTAAGTTTACAAGATCAAACAATTTTAAATTGGAGGATTGTAAAAACAATAAATTTGTGGGATGTAAATAATTTCCTTTATGAACGATTCGAATGGCTCTTCTTTGCAGTGTAACCAGGGGCTGAAGATTGGTCTTAAAATTGTTTCCCCAAACTTCAGAATCAGGGTCAGTCAAAGCACACATTGAAAAGTTGGAGGATTTAATCTCAGCGCTCCTCTTTCCCAATGGTAGCTGAGACCCGATCATCAGAGTTCATTCTCTAATCCAGAAATCTCTGCCAATACTGACCATCAGCCATCAGCTGCTCATCTAACACTTGGACTTTCTTTGGATTAAGAAACTAATATCAAACACTCAGATACTAAAAATGTTAATCTTACATTAAAATACAACACATTTCCCTTCTGATTCATGTTGTATAATTAAATAATCAAAAAGCCAAAGCTGATGTCAGACATCTTCAGGTGGGCGTCTTCATCTTTCTGTTGATGTTGGTCCCTTATACAGGCGACATTTTGAATTTTGTCTGCAGAGCAGCTGGTCCTCAACACATCAGGTGGACTACTGATGTGTTAATTAACCAATCAGAGGGGATTATTCTGCCCCTTTATTCTGATTTGTTTTGTTGAAGCTCTTCCTGGTTCCTTCCTTATGAGCTCAGATGAACTCTGATCACTTTCTTTGATGACTTTGAGCCACACCTCCTCCTGCTGAAGGATGGAAGGATGGCTGAGAAGGTCCTCCATCAGGGTCTCCAGGGACCTTGGTCCCTCTGTAAAGCCTTCTCTGACTAAGGGGAAAAAAGGTCTTGTAGGTCATTTTAATGTGTCACCTGTCAGTCCCAGTCTGGCCAGAGGTCAGAGGTCTGGTCCGTTCTGTGGTCCAGGAACGGGTCGACCCGTCATGAGCTCATGGGGAGGAAAACTGGGAGTCAAAGTTACCAACAGTCTGAATTAAAGGAGCTGAGGGAAGGAAAGATCAGATGTTATCTTACCCTTTCACAAACAATAGTAGATCAAAATAAGTTCATGTAGCTTAAAGAACTTTAGATTCAAATTTTAACTTTGTCACAAATTATTGAATTATTCCATAATTTCAAACTTACCCAGTAAATGTACTTCCTTAGTGTTCGGTACCCTTATCACTTCTGCACCTGCAGAAATCCAAACAAACTTCTCCTCAGCAGAGGAGGGAGGGAGGACCTGCAGCGCTGTAAACAAGGGGAGACGCTGCAGCACAGCCTTCTGTTGCTTCCACCAGACATGATGTGTGTGGAAGAAGAAAAATGGGCTTTCCATCTGATTTCAAGAACGATGTTTCCAAGGCGAAGCAAAATCAAAGAACCAGAAACAAGAGTTTCATGAGGTGAAGAAACACCAAACCAGGGGTGCAAGAAGCTGAACCATCAACAAACATCAACAAAGCTGGTTTTTCCCAAACGCACATCAGACAGTCAGTCTGAGGTGTTCAAACTTCATCCAGAAGTCTAGCAGTCGTTTCTGTCCTCTGCTGCTAAGAATTACCTTAATAGATCATTTTCCTTTATAAGGCAATTTTATTCCCCTATTTATTTACTTTACTGGTTTAGTCATAATTTAGTATTTTATTTAGGTCGTTTATTTATTCTGCTCTCAATTACCAACCCATTAGCCTGCCCATCTTTACCTCCTGTAACTGGGTCAATGGTAAAATGGCCGCTTTTCAGTCTATTTATCTGCAGGTACTTTAACTCTAGTCAATAAGCAGCGAACCAGTTACTATTCTGCTGGAAGCCAACCTGGGATAATAGGGAGATCTCCCTGAAGACCTCGTCACCTCTGACCTAACAATCAGAGGTTTGCGTGTATAAAAACGTGAGCTATTTCACTGCGCACGCTAAAAAATGTACAAACTGATCTATCAACAGCGTGCTAAAAGGATTTGGTCTTTAAAACGTGCTAAATAGCGCCTCTTATCCATTTAGTACTTTTTCTGCAATGAATATCCAATATGGGGCGTTTACACGCAAAAGTGCGTCTTGTGGGAGGAGAACATGTAAATATATTAATTCGCAAAGTGATTTATTAAACCTGAAAGCAATTTTTGCTAACGGTATCTGACTCTATATTTAACACGTTTCAAAAGAAGGTGCAAATGGTCTGTATGCGTAATTGCGCACACATGGCAGCGGTTATTGTCGCAAGAAGGAGACATGGAAATGAAGCAAGGAGACGCAGAGAACGCATTTTTTCACTCCGTGTGAATATTTTTGGAATGAACGAGGAAACGATCATCAAAACATATCGTTTATCCAGCATTGCCATTTTGGAGCTGTTGGGGGAACTCCGAATGGATTTGGAGCCAGCCACAAGGAGGACCCACGCAATACCAGATATCACTAAACTCCTTGCAACATTGCACTTTTTTGCATCTGGGATTTCCCAATCTCGTTTTCAGAAGTGCTGTCCGACGTTTTAAATGTCGGACAGGACGCCCTAACGGAGAACCCCGACCTCCCTTCTGCACCTGTGGAGCAACATGCCAATGCTGCAGGGATGCGTAGGCACAGTCATCTTATCCACAGTCACTTCTTGTGAGCCATTTGGTATGTGCATTTTTCTACAGGCCAATACAAAACACCAGTTTTTTTTTTTTTTTTTTTCTTACTGCAGTGAAGTAGAAATTCAGCCACATACCACCTTAGGGAATAAAGGTTGCCAAAGTGTATATATATATATATATATATATATATATATATATATATATATATATATATATATATATATATATATATATATATATATATATATATATATATATATATTTTTTTTTTTTTTTTTTTGGAGGGGGTGGGGGTGTCACTGTAAGATTAAAATTTCTTAATGCACTAGTTTGCACAAACAACAAACTACTTTGCCGCAAACCACAAAACGCGCAAAACCATCATTTAAATAGGGCGTCTCCAACAGTTTTGCACCTGCCACCAGTTACGCAATCGCTTTTGTTAAATCACCCGCAAACCATGGTTCAGCCCCTCGCGCAAAATTCCAATTTGCGAGCACA